TTTGAAGAAAAAAGTATCCAAAACAGATTTAATTAAAAATTTATATCATTTGAGACATTGAAGGGACTAATTTCATTTAACAGTTTGTAACATGCTGCTTACACTTCTGCAGGAAAGTGCTGGATGATATCTAGTTAAACAAACAATGCGAGCGAAGAAATATTTCTTTTCAATTAGTTCTCATCACTAATATATAGCATTTTACGAGCATATCGTTTAAGCGTGCTTCCGTTTGGTCGAAACTATGTTAGGACGCAGAAATTTCCAGTAGGCTATAGAATAGCGGTTGGTTGAATACACTCATAAATAAAATCTATCCTCGCTTCCGACATCTGACATGAAAATCCCTCCCAACTGATTATGTTTGAAGTCGGTCAATGCAAACCCTACTATATCTTTAATTTATCCTTGCTTGCATTTATCAGTGAAGTGATCCAAACTCGTGTCATCCAGTGCTGAAGTCAAATATCCCACCAATAAGCCATTCGTGATAGGTCTAAATTGTGTGACGGAACTGAGATATGCACACGATTCCGTCTTTACGATCTAGATTTAATTTCTTGATTATCTTCTTGTATCTCACACTGAAATGCATTGCAATGCATTGTCACTTCACTTGATTGCCTTCATTGTCAACATTCTCCATAGATTTCGGTGTTGAGTAGTAATGAATTTACATCTGCCTTAGTAACTCTATAATGACTAATTTCTATATACTTTCAACTGGTTTGGAATATGGATTGTGTGAATTCTGATGACAATACTAACAACCGCTGACAATGGAAACATTTTTGAAATAAGTGAATCCATAAAATTGTCAGTCTGAATGGAAATCAGATGCCTATTAGTGAATTTATTATTGTTTATCACTCATCATCTTTCATACAGATCGAATCAAGAGTGAAAACTCTTGAAAATGTTGATTACTGAGAAATACTGAACAATGTACTTACCTTTACCAGGTCAAAGAAGTACATTTAACCTAAAATCTGGGTTTCCAATAATAATTTAATCTACACAACCGGTAGTAACCTAGGTAGCAGGCTACCTAGGTCTAAACACTAACTGAAAGCTATCTACGAATTACCCTTTGTGATCACTAACCGAAGTGATATGACAATGTAGTGTACTTAAATTAGTGCTCTTATTGAACACCAGTTCTATGGATTGAGGTGAATATTTCCAAAATGATACCTATATCGTTTATCAAAGATCAATAATCTTGTTCACGTAATGCACAGTAAACTTAATTTTGAACTAAAGTGACTGACTGTGCCATTGAATAACCTATTTCCGCAACTACAAGGGAAAACAAATTGTATGAATTCCAATAACGTAAACAAAACATTCCGCTAACTGATGTCAGGCAACAAACAGAGATTAATTCAAGTCATCCAACAGTTGCAGACTCCATCTTTGGAATGAAGCATGTTTTTTATCTTAGGAACACAAAGTAGAAATGTGAGAAACCAACACCCACAATCAAGATGTATTTACTGCTTCTAAATCTCACACAAAAATTCTAACAACGCGTTTAATCAGTTGATTCCCCAATATCAGCAAGCTTTTGAATTAAATTTTACACAACGAATGACTTTCTTATTACATTTATCCTTAAAATTAATTCATTTATATCTGACTGTCAATTTTCTTACAGAATGTAGAAACTAGTGATAAAGAATATTTGCTCACGGATAACCTTAAGAATATGAATCAGGAATTACCAACTACAATAACTGATGCACTGTCTGAAGTAGGAAAGACAAATGGTAAACAGTTTCCTCCGAAAAGATCATTGTCACTCGTCACTACACAATAAAAAAGCTAAGAAATAATTTCATGCATTCAGATCCAATATAGATGTTAGAAATGTTAAAACAAAAACGATCCAAATTTCTAAGGTTAATGATGCCTAACTTGGTGAGTGTCTCGAGTTTGAAGAGTGTGCTGATGAGATCTCAACTATATGGGGGCTATGTGAGCAAATATACACTCACCAATTCCACTTTGATGACTGAGGCCTGCGTCCTACTGTATCAATCAGGACAGCTTCTGACAACTTCAAATAATAAACAGCATCCCAGGGAAGTAAAGTGTAAAACTATGACCTTAAACTTAAAGTGTCATAGTCTATTAAGAGACTACTCAAGATTTTTCACTGATGTAAAGACAACTAGTGGTGTTCTCAGTGGATATCTATCATTGAAAATTCTGATAATTTCATTCGTAAATGTACCTCTGAAGACGTCTCTTAAGGTTCTGGACAAATTTTCAACTGTCTACCCTGCAGTAGGGACAACGATCATTCCCGCTTTACTTTGTGACTTAGACTAGACGAATACTTCTAGGTAAGAAAACGAATTTAACTGATCAGACTATGAAAATGGATGATACATATCCAGTCATTTTATTTCTAGTGTGATCGAAATGAAAGCAATCAAACGTTTTTTTTGGAAAATTACATATTGGTGGTAAATGAAGTTCCTTAGTATTGTTTGTCTAGACGACCATAGGCTAATTAGCTTTATTCCTCAGTACGTTTACAATGCACAATTGAAAACGCTTTTAAACACAACGCAAAATCCAATGGAGTGATACAGATATATTCATCTTACACCTTAATTACATTTCCAAAAGTTTCACCAATTTCCATTTGTTTGTCTTCCCTCCTGATATTTTACTTTACAAGTATCTCCTAGCGTTATTGTCTTTAGTTTACATGTTACTGCTAAAGAAAGCACATTAGAAGTATATAGCGATGAACATTTAGAAGCCCAGCTGAATACCCTCCGTGGAATTTGAGTCTAAGAAGACCTAATAGTATCAACGGTATCAGTAGCGCGTGATGCAGAAATTGTGAATGTATCTAATATAATTGATGATGTTTAGTTCCACCCATTTTCTCTCCAAAAGATGAAGACATGACCTTCGCACTGGGAAAAAAATAATTCGTAACTCCTCACCTGCCTTGTTAACCATTTTAACAACTTCACCCTCCTCTTAACTTATTATATTAACTGTGTTTACAACTCAGTGAGGTGAACTCTATTTTCTTCTTCCTTCCCCATTACTGTCATAATCTTGTTCAATTCTTCTATTATATTTCATTACCAATCTACTACTAACATTATTTATGAATTATTGTCTCGACTAGTCTTAAAAACTTTAGAAATTTCACTCTAACAGTTCCACCTTACAATACTGCTTACTGCTGCCTTTTCATGACCACTACATCATCCATTTCTCAAGTATGTTGGCATCTATTTAAATTTCTTTACATTATAATTTTGTTCGCAGCCGTACATACAGCAACGAGACACTAGAATCCATTGAATTCACTAAACCCCTTCTTTGTGATTTCATTAAGACTAGTGCAGAATAACAAATGCATGTGTAAATAATTTACGCATATTTGAATAGTGGAATGACGCAAATATCCAATTCATGAATGATAGCACAAAACACTGCCTACGTTCTACATTGAGATGCTAGAAGGGTATGGTGTTTATAGTTTTCAAACTTCACCTACTCAATATTATTCATAATGACGAAAATACACGCGATAATACATGTATTTAAGGTAGGAAGTTAAATGGCTGCTTATTTAGGTAAACTGAAGTTAGCTTTATGCAATTAATTGCCAAATTTTGTGATTTCAGGTACTTCAAGATCGCCTGTAAAAAGCGAACCATTCGATTTCTCTTAAGTATATCAATTACCTTTCGCTAAGACATCGTCGTTGAACTATCAAATTACACTTTTATTTGGTGGTTAGAATACAAAACTGTTTACCATTTTCATGCTTCACTTAGGCTTTTACGATATTTCTAATTATGACTCCCAGTTACATCACCGGACTGTTCAGCCTTCAGTGTCAGGTAATCGGTTCGAATAACATAGCATATGTTTACTAGCCACTGATTCGAAGAGAGATAAAACTTCTGTCCAAAAACAACATTCGTTGTACACATTTACTGTTGACTAACTATCCCAAAATGTCTTCAATTACCGGACCAGAATGATGTATAAAGTCTCAGGAAAATCTGGGTCACCGAAAATCTTAGTCAGATTACCAACCCAGTGCTATGAGATCTAACTCTTAATTTGTGACTAATTTGCTTCAACTATCCAAAGCTTTGTTGATTATCATTTGAATGAGTTTTACGTAGTCATTTATTACCAGAAAGTAGAGTATCTTTCGAGCCGGTTCTCTATACTCTATCCTAGATCCAGATCAATTAGAAGAGCCTGGAGAAGACCAACTGGCAGTTAAAATATTGAAGATGACGGCTTTTAATCGGTTTTTATCTGCTCATGGATAGAATTAATGAGCGTCTTTCATAATTATACTACCTAATTGAGTTTCATAGCTATTTTGTGCCAGGTCATTATGATCAACGATATAGGTTCCGGTTTCTGTGGAAATGATTTTCACTACATTGTTGAACTTTAATTTATTGCATTTAGCAACAGATTAAAATAATTGTTTTGAAATATCTTTGGTGATTTTTACTAAAGTGTACAACTGACAGAATTCTGTAAAAACATACTTCATTAAAACACGTTTTTAGCGTCATTTTTGAAATGGTACATTTATAAGTAAATAAGCAGACTAAAACTTACTGCATTTTGATGAGACCAAGCGCATGAACAGGTGAGATTATTGTTGTAATCCATGCTTATGCTAGGTTGTGCATTTGTTTCAGGTGAAGTTGTAAATTGTGAGTTATTTTGGGTGAAATCTAGGGGAGTTCTGTTATCATTCGGATCATTAGGGTTATGAGATATGTTTTTTTCTAAGTTATACGTCAAAAAATGACATACGTCATTTTTTATTGCTTTTGTGTCTGCGATATAACTTTGCACATACATATTTTCTTGCGAAGAGCAACTGGTTGTTAGAGTGGATAAATTATTATCCTTTAACCTCTGTTCTCGTAAAACATGATCTCCGCTTTGCATGCTGAATTCATAAATAGAATGAGATTTTGAGTGTTTTCTTAGTGAACTTGGATCAGTGTATCTTTTGGTACATCCAAACACTTACAAACATAAGGCTTCTGTGAATAAAAAGAGGTAAAAACAGCCAACAGGTAATTTGCGCTGTATAACCCACCAGTCGTATACAAAAGGTATATATGAATGACCGAATAAGCGGTTTATTTTTCATGTTATTGGGAAAGTAACTTACAAAGCTAGACATTTCATAGATTTAAATAAACAGAAGATATAGATGGAAAAGTTGACAACATTAACGTATATCTGCAAATGTTAAAAACCTCTCCAAATGCTAGTCCTAATCCTCAAACAAATAATCAAGATGACACTTTTGATGAAGTAGGTTGTCGACATCACTTAGAGGCGGAAAACGACACAAGCAGTATTTATATGTAGATGTTCTAAGATAAGATGATATTCAACCGTAAACCAAAGCGCAACAATTCATAAATATTTAGCTTTTGACCCATAACAAAGTGTATTTTTTTTATTTGTAAACTATTCTATGAATATTTTATGAAATCATTTCAAACTAAGTAGTGTTAATTGAGGTTTAGTTTATGCACACTGTAAATGTGCTTAGCAATATTGAAAATGACATACTCACACCTAATAACATCTTGTCAAAGCTAGTCGTAGACTCCTAATCTCTGGTAACCATTCAAGAGACAAAGTCATTTTAAAGTCTTTTTCATTAGATTACACCTGTCAGGTTTCTCAAAGATAACTTAGGTATAAGATAGCCACAATTACACTAGAAGACCAATTACTAAACACTTACTTCATCGTTTTTCCTATCATTGATTGGTTGCTGCATAACCAGTTACAAAAAATGAGGGTTTAATATTGGAAAATAACTTTCTAAAAGTATGCTGATTCTTTTCAGTACCTACAAACTATTCATTCATTTCTACACGTAGTATACAGAGTACACGAAGGGCTATCTAAAAGGTAACCGGAGCAGTAATGAACGCTAAAGTATCGAACAAATTATATGTTCAGGTTGTGTACTTGTTGCGATGCAGAGCACAGTATGAATATTAAGGAAGATAATGATAGATCAATGATATAGGAATAAAAAGAAATGACTATTCTGGCAAGCGACCAATCAAAATACTCTTTATGTTATCAATTCTATGGTTAGATAGATAGATGGTGGATCAGCCAATCAATAGGATCATTTCAAATGGTAAACTATCTACATATTAGCTGTATTTTCGTTCATTCAAGTCTTCGGTCTTTTCGACCCTAATACACGTTTCTGCACGTCCATCGTGTCTTCTCTATTAATTAATCGTGTCGGGAATCAACTGAGAATTTGTTAAACGTTGGTGACTGACAGTCAATATTCATGCCTTGTTGGAGGCCATAGCACATAGCAGTTTCCAAATCATAACACTCAATAAATAAACTATCCGATACCATTGCCGAGTGATATCTGATTACAAGAAGCGAACTAATGAAAAAAGTCTCCAGTGAACTGATATCAAAGAACGAAATAAACTGGCTGCCTGGTAAATAAGCCTCTTTTTAGTGAAATAGGAGACTTGATTACATAAAACATGGCTGTTGATAAAGTATATATGACAAAAAGTTATTACACAACTCAATATCAGTAAACCAAGGATTACGTGATCACATACTGACCAGTTGTGTTGGACTAAGGCAGATACAGCTTATGTTCATCAAGCTGATTAATATGGTAGCAGAATACACTTCTCTTGGTGTTAGATATTAGTGTCAATTCAGTTAAACAGTCGAATATTACCCGGTTCAATTAGGACATAATGTGTTTCACTCAAACTCTGAGAGTGGTTGTTATAAATCTGGGTATCGTGTGTATGAATACTAAAATTAGCTCAAAGTTTGGAGCACTTCGTCAGCTCTTAGTGATGATGGCCGATATATACATTCAATAAGTCTTAATAAAAGTCATTGATAAAAGAGAGGCAGAGAACTTTCATTTAGTTTGAGTAAATTACAAAGATAATTATCTAGTTGCACTAATTGAGGTAACCTCACCTGGTTAACTAGTTCACTAGTTACTAGCCGGTCCTAAGCCCGGGTAAAGAGGAAAGTTTGGGCACAGGGCTAGCAACCCTACCCCGGAAAACCAATCCAGCCGCTACAGAAACTTCGGAGCACAGACAAAATACCAAAAATGAAAACAAACTTATTCCTTGCTGCAATCGGAGAGACAAAATGACGCCGGTTGGTGAAAGCTCGATGTGTCTTCTCTCGATGAAAGCGAAAGTAAAAATGGGGACGTGGAATGTCCGCACAATGTTAGAACCTAGCAAGGCCACCCAGATTGCAAAGGAGATGAGAAGATATGGCATAGAAGAGTTAGGAATCCGCGAAAGCAGGTGGAATGGAAGTGGACTCTCCAAACTGCCAACTTGAGAGTCAATAATCTACTCCGTTACCATCACCCAGAGGACAACCACGAGCACATGGAGAGAGTGGCTATCATGATGTCGCAAACAGCATCGAAGGCCATCATGCGGTGGGAACCAATCTCCTCCAGGATCATGACAGTGAGGTTCAACTCAAAACGAAGGAAAGTCACAACTACACAATGCTATGCACCTACAAATAATGCAGATGAAGAGAAGAAGGAGGAATTCTACAGACAAATTCAACCAACAATGGAAAATACCACGTCCCAGTTCGCGAAATCAAAATTCTAAAGGGCGACATGAATACCAAACTGGGGACAGACAACACAGGAAGAGAACAAACCATGCGTCGAGAAGCGCTTGGTGAGGTTATGAAAGAGAATCGAGAATTGTTTGCAGAATTCTGAGCACTCTACGATTTGGTGACTAGAGTCACTGTGTTCAAGCACCAGGATATCCACAAAGAGAGAAAAGGATTTCACCAAATGTACACACTAAAATCAATTTTATCTCAATCTCAAAAAAGTACAGACGCAGCAAACTTCACATAGGGTTAACAAGCGGAGCAGACGTTGGCTAAGAATATTATTTAGTGAAACCAACCTTAACAATCAAGTAGAAAGCCACAGTCGAAGAAGCTGGTGAAAGACCACAGTCGAAGTTCAACAACCACCCAGAACAGAAACTGAACTGAACTGAACTTAACTGAAGGACTGAAGGAACTACAGCAGACATCCTCACGTCAGCGAGTAATCAGAACAAAATGGGAGATACTGAGCAACATCCGCGAAGCGACGTGTGTGGATAAACACTGGAGCTGTGTAAAAGAGATGTGGAAAGAAATCTGCATAACTAACTGTATTAGGAAGGAAGAGGAAACAAGACAAGGAATGGAATGGAATGGATCTCGATGGACACATGGAAGCTGATAGAGAAGGGAGAGGAAGATGCTAAGCAGAAGTTGAACCAGTTCAGTTCGTTCAGTGTAGTGCAGTGCATTGCATTGCAGTGTGGAAATGAACAACGAGAAGAGGAAGTGAATACAACGTACAAAACACTGGATAAAAACGTGAAGAAGAGTGCACGTAAAGACTAAAGACAGTTCTACGACACATTGGCAAGTGAAGCAGAACAGGCTGTTTGTAGGAGAGACAGAGACCTGACAATATTATATCAAATAGCCAGGTTACTATGTGAGAGGGGAGAGATGAACACAGATGAAACGAATGAAGGATAGTGAAGGAAACGTAGTTAGCAAAGAGAGAGTAGAAACGAAGGAAACGATGTGTTGACCACTTCGAAGTGGTTTTGAATCGACCACCACCACCACTACCACCAACTGCACTTTGTCGAGAAATACCACAAGCAGCCCATCCACAGAACTACCAGTGAACACAAGCCTTCCAACAAAAGCAGAATTGAAGTCGTGAATACCACAAAACTGCCGAAAGCCTGGAAAGCAGCAGGACCAGATCTAATTGCTCCAGAAGCACTGAGAACAGACGCAGAGACATCAGCAGCGAATATACTCACACCACTTTTGCAGAAGGTCTGAAAGGAAGTGGAGATACCTGCCGACTGATTGAAAGAAAGATTACCTTGTCAAACTGCCGAAGAAGGGCGACCTAAGTGTTTGCAAGAACTGGCGTGGAATCACACTCCTGTCCACTCCAAGTGAGCAAAATATTGAGCCGCATCATCCTGGGGAGATTAGACAATGCGCTGGATTCAAAACTATGACCGGAACAGGCTGGATTCAGGAATAACAAATCATGTGTGGGTCAGATTACAAGCCCACACATCATCATAGAACATAGTATAGAATGCAGTCAACTCAACTCAACCTCAACTTCATCGACCTTGAAAAGGCCTTCGACAGCGTCGACCGAGAACTAATTTGACAGACAGCTGCTTCAACACTGCGATTTTAGTGCTGCAAACCTCTATCAGCCTCACTCAACAGCTATATGCTATGCTATATGATGCTGCATGCCAAGTGATCCACAATGGAAAGTTCAGTGGCGCCTTTGAAGAGAAAACAGGAGACAGGAGTGAGACAAGGTTGCCACCTACTAACACCCATGATCTTCCTGATTATGGTCGACTGGAGTGGATTGGATAATGCAGCAGACAACTGTGAGGAGCGAGAGGAGGGGCATACGCTAGCTGAACCGATGAAAAGACCATAGAAGAAGATTTGGATTTCGCCGCCAATGATTCATGTCTGATGTATTGTGGCACAAGGTCGAAGATCTACAGGTGAAAACTGACAAGTTGACAGAAGGGGTGGGGCAGCAAAGACGGGACTTCCTTCAGGTGAATGTAGAGAAGACAGAGGTGATGAAGATATCCAACCAACGTCACTGACAACAACAAGCTGCAGTCACCATGAAGTGGAGAAACCTAGAGGAAGTAGCCTCTTTCACCTATCTAGGCAGCACCGTTTTAACTACAGGCGACACAGGCACAAACGAGGAAATCAAAGCGGCCAGGATCGGAAAAGCAAGACGGGCTTTCATTCGCCTCCAAAAGGGTGTGGAAATCTTCTGCACTCAGCCTGAGCAATATCCGGATTTTCAACACCAATATCAAGTCAGTGCTTCTATGTGATGGCTCAAAGACTTGGGGTGTTACGAAAGGGATTTCCGACAAACTACAGACAT